GTGTGTGTGTGTGTGGGGTGTGTGTGTGTGTTCGTTAGATGTAAGTGTATATGAATCCTGGCGAGCTCCAACAGGTATGTGCGGGAGTGCTTGCATGTGTGCACCTGACTCTGTGTGTGTGGGTGTGTTTGTATTCCAAGAGGAGAGAGTCGTTCCTGACAGGGCAGAATCCTCACAGCCCATAAGTCAGCACCACTGTGACATTGACCTGTCAGCACGCAGACGATGAGGCGGAGGGTTGAGCGAGCTGATGAGAAGCCGAGGGTGGGTTGAGCGAGTTTAAGGGGGGGAAAGGAGGTGTGTTAGCAGCACATGGAGGTGTGCATGTAGGTAGATATTCCTGTAGTATATGTGTTGATAATGTAAGTTTGGATGGAGAGTGTGGGGTACCTCAGTTGTGTCAGACAAGAATCTGATGCTCAATAGAGTCCATTTGGACCTGCTGGCTCCCAGCCTGAGGAGAAACAGTCCAACACAAACCATTATATACAGTATGCACAAAATCTGACATTATCTCTGTGCACTCGTTCCTTTCAAAGAATCACTACATCTGCTGCAGGCTTCCATACACAGTTTAATTGCACACCCAGCCTTTGATAGATTTTGGTTCTGCTGTTTTATGTATTTTATTGCAGTAACCCAAAGAAAAAAACATAAATTAATCAGAAACTGGTGTAAATGAGGATGCGCCTCATCACTGCCATCTAGTGTTGACTTTGGTAAATGTGTGATATCTGGTGAACCAGCAGTTATATATAAAAGCAAATGTGAAAAAAAACATTGTGCTAAGTTTAATCAAACCGACTTTTAACAAACTTATCACAGATTTTGGTGTTCAATGAATCCTTTTTTTTTTTTTTACTGTGAAGATGGATGTAAAAAAAAAACATCCATCTTGTAAAGAGGGACTGTGGGACTGTGAATGTAGAAGAGGCTCCATGGTAAATTATCACCTACTCTGCACACCTGTAAGCTTTATTCTAAGCACTCAAATCTAATCTGTTTCCGGCAGCAGCATGAAGCTCAGATACACACACACTATACAGCATCACCTCGCTCCAAACAGACACACACAGTTAACTTCTAACTGTTGAGTAAAGTTGAACATTTATAGAGATTCTCTTGAGGAGGTGCAGGTGGACTGAAGCATGGCTGCAATGTACTGACACTGTTGTCTGCCTGAGATGTAAATCGGGAACTGTTGCAGACATGTTAACCCATAACATCTAATAGTTCCTCTGTGGAGTATTCCAGAAACAAACAGAAATGATTCATACATTCATTTGTTTTCCGTGTTAGTCTGTTATACTCCTTAAGTTTGTACAGTATTTATTCATAACAAATATTTTATAACAGTTATTGCTTACATCCATGTAAACCAACTAGTTCTTTATTGTTCCCCTGGGGGTCCAAATATAATGATTATATGGATAGAAAGAAGATCCTTAACAGCCATGCATACTGGATTTTTCCTCTTTTCTTTCCAGAGCATTTGATTTATATCCGGCTGTTTTAATGTTAATAACATTTCAGCAAAGTAACTATGTGATATGTGTTTCGCTTCTTTGAGAATTCACTGCTTTAGGACAGAAGCAGGCAATTGTCCAACACTGTGTCCCTCCGTGTGTTCCTCTGTGACTCTCCTCTTGGCTGATGGATCTTAGAGAATCTGGCCCAGGAAGTTTGGGTGACTCAGGCTGTGCGAGTCATGCTGTGGTGGGACAAGACGTTCCCTCATCCTTAAAATGAGCTGGTGTATGTTTGATTCACATCCAGTATTAACTGAGCTGATATTTCTCACCGTGCCGCTGTTAAACTGCTTTGAAACTGTCTGACCAGTACACTTCCATAATCCAGACTGGATTAAGTTTAATGGACTCGTCTGAGACCCATTCACTTCCTGCTGCAGGAGGTGCAGAGTATGTTTGTGTCTGCACTACTGTGTGTGTGTGTGTGTGTGTGTGTGTGTGTGTGTGTGTGTGTGTGTGTGTGTGTGTTTCTCATGTGAATCTCACCTCTCTCTTCAGATGGAGGGGACTGAAGATTGTCATCAGATTCCTCAGGGTGGTTCCCATAGCAACTGGAGGACGCGGTCCCTGACCAGAGTGGCACTGAGCGCACTCGCAGCCTCCTTCCTCCTGTTCCTCTACAAAGCCGTCGGTGAAGGCTAACCTGAAGATGTACAGCAATGTTTGCTAAACAACACGAAGGTTGTGTCAGTCTGTTTGTCAACCATTTTTACGTTTTTCATGACTTCCAGGTGATAACTTGTTTTATAAGTGGAATAATATGTTAAAAGAGACGAGACAGGTTCTCTCTAGTTCTGCTGTTGGAACACTTTCTTTTACTTTGCTCAAACTTGTCTTCAACCTGCAGTTCTGAATTTTATTTGAGTATATTTTAAGGGTTTAATTAAGTTTCTTTTGAGGAACAATTCTGTTCACAGTACAATTAAGAGTGGAATTAAATTTCAAGTTTTCTGTTTCAAATGCTTGTAAACGTATTGAACTTTCTTTCCAAAATGCGAATGTGGACTCTTATTAACCTTGTGTTCCAAATTGAAAAAAAGAGGTTAGATATCAACATCATGACTGCACATTGTATGTAAAGATGAATGTGAGATGTGATTATTTAAGCATCCTGTAAAGAATGGATGAGAGGGGAAAGAGCAAACCTCTAAAAGTCAACAGATAAAAAGAGGGGGCGGGATATCAGCCATCCATCACCTGGAGCTTTGACTCATCATATTGTTTTATCCATATACAAACAGAAATGTAAAAACAACAATACGTCATACTTGGAAATATTTGCTTCAGCTATTTCTGAGGTAATGTGGGGTTTTGTTGTCACAGTAGTGTTGCCAAGCAACAGGCAATCATTACCTGTAGGTGGAGGTATGTATTAATCAAGCCAGATACAACATGTCAATTAGTCAACTTAGGAGATTTCTGTAGGTGCGTTTTTAAACTTTAGAGAGCAAGACAAGTTTTTCAAATCCTCCCAGTCATCATGCTAAACTAAGCTGAATTGCTGACTAGATAGTTTTAAATTCAGGTTCTGCATATGTTAACATTGTAATTGTTCTTGTCTGTTGTGCCCGCCACGGTCTAGGAGTCAGATGAGGCCATTTACGGCATGCTAATGAAACCCTTTTTACATTTTCCACTGCAAGTATCTATGATGGATGATCTATGATGATATTTTTGTTAAATCACTACCTACACCTTTACAAGACAAAATCAGAAAAAAATATTTCCTACGTTGTCCACAGGGGGCGCCAGACCCCCCCTGGCCTGTTCGATGGCCATGTCTGGCCCATGTATTTGAAACATCACAAATAACAAGTTCCTTACCTGCGCTTTAAGGATCATATTCACTAATAGGTCAAGTTGCCATGAACAAAAGATGTTTAAATTCAGTTTGGAAAATAGTTATGAATCCAGGAGGGAAATTTACAAGATATTTATTTATTTATATAAACTTCTCAGCAAAGTAGGTCCGGTCCCTTCAGGCCCTGTCCTGACTGTACAGTGATGATAGTAATCTTGTCAGAGAGCACCATTCATTTCCACCACATAACGTGAAGTGCAGTGAGCAGCCTTAATGCGATTTGGTAAGGCAGCGAACAAATGACTTCCAATTACACTGGCTTTATATTACAGAGTTAATACAACTTCTGCTGCTGCAACAACAAAGTCGTGTTCAATGGGCTGAGAAGAGGACAGAGAGCGCTTTAACAAATCTCCTTGTTGTTTTATGGTTTTCTTCCACGGGGATCATGGGGGGAAAAAATCCAATTTGCCCATTAATCTCATCTGGTCAGGATCTCCGGACCTCCAGATACACCCGGAGCAGATCAAAGATGGAGGAAATGCCGTGTGACAGTGGTACAGATTTCCCCGTGAGACTTCAAAAAGACCACGATAGATAATCCAATTGAAATGGACACATCACCTTTAGCTGCTGGTTTGGGAGAACCAGTGAGTGGATTTTTCTCTTGCCCTCCTTTTTTTTAAGACCATCAGATTCCTGAGTTATTAGTTGGGCTTAGTGATGGTTTGTATAAGGCTGTAAAATAACAGTGCGTCATGCAGAAGTATTTGGCACCTAAGCGTCAGTGGGGTATGACAAAGAGCTCTTACTTTTTAGCAAATCCATATTTTATTTAAGGATTTAGCCATGACAAAATAGAAACGTAAAAACAAAACAATATTTGGGAGCCCTGGGTGGAGCAGAAATGTCATGTATCATGGATGAATATTTTTGGCATTTTATAGTGATTTGATAGATGATTAGTTAACGATCTCTGCGCCCTAGAAGCACCGAAATGTTACTTTGCGCAAAGATTCTGCTCTTGTCATCTAAAAAACTTTAATATCTACCCACGAAATACGTGTTACGAAAAAGCGAACATACAAAAAAAACTGAATTTAGGGCGAACTGTGCGGGTGTTTTTTTTCTTCTGTTCCGGTGACTGACACTGCCTAGGTGTGCTGGATGAACTCTCTCCCTCAGCTCGGCCTCTTCCCCTGAACGCGTCGGTGCCGTTTGAGTGAAGCGCCCATCACTTTGGACCATTTCTCTGAGCGCAGCGGAGCTCCGGTCTGGACGCGGGCCAAGCCTGTCTGGTGTCAAACCAGCCTGAACAGATACTCTCAGACATCTCATTCCTGAGACGGGACTCTGCCCACCCCTTGTGTAAAGCAATTTAAACCTGATAGCTCATCATCTCCACTGAAAATATTTGCCCGGACTATTAAGACGGTCTCTCTGCACTTTTTTTCCCTCATATGCACTTTGCCACCGTGCAGAGGCAGAACCAGAGCCGGTCATGGCTTTTACGCGCAAACCTCCATCATCCGACCGTCCTGTGATTTATTTTTAATGCAAGCGTGACATTGGACATTAATCAAGTTCTGACTTTTTCTAATGTTTTACATTTTTATTTTTCCCGTGGAAATGCTCCGTCCAGATCCATAGAGGACCAACGTTTGGTTAATATGAACTTATTTCCAAGTGGAATATGTGTTTATTTGTCTGTAGCAATGTGCTGGCTGGTGGCCGAGGTCGATGCGTCCTGGTGGTGAGTACATTATCTTTAGTTCGTTATAATGGTCAAAGAACAGGCGCTGAAAATGTGATCAAACTTGGCACGTTTTATTCCACGTGCAGAAAGGGGCTCAAATCGAGTTTGTGGTTAACACATCTGTAGATAAACAGTTTGATTTGTGAGGAAATATCACGAGAGTTTCCTTGCTTATTAAAAAAACTTCTATATAACTTTTTAAACTATTTCAGGACTACATTGTTCTCGTTTATCATACATTTCCCACATAATGAGTTATTAAATTCCCATCCGTGGTTTACATTTCTGTGTTTTAAAAATACTGAAGTTGAAGACTGAGTATTTAGACAGATACATTTCCAAGATCAAGTCATTCAATATGATTTACTTTCTCTCTATTTGCTTTTGTTCTCTTGAGTCTTTTAATATTTGCAAAGATCCTGTTTCTGTATTCCAGCTGTAATGCTGAGATGATGTTGGGAGAGTGAATTTTTTTCTCCCTCTTTAATAAGGAGAAGTAAATTAAAGACATTTCCCTGAAGCCTGCAAGTGTTTAAATTCCCTGCTTGTCTTTCATCACACGGTTGAAATGGTGGAGCTGATAGAAGGGATTTCAACACAGCGGACACCTTGATGCTTTGCTGTGTCATTTTCTGTTTCTCAGTGTTTCTTTTCTTTTTAAAAGAAGCTAAGTGTCAAACTCCCCTACAGAGCTGAAATGCCTGCAGGGGGAGGAAAATACCAAGTTTGATAGAAATTTTGTCTGTTTTTTTTTTCTTTCCATTTTTTGACGATGTTTAGATGTTCTGACAGAAGTTCTGCTTTCTGTCCGTCTGCTCCTCCACCCTGCAGGTACATGGGCACCCTGGGCTCTCAGGTGATGTGCGACAATATCCCCGGCCTCGTGAACAAGCAGCGCCAGCTGTGTCGCCAGCACCCAAAAGTGATGCAGGCCATCGGGGCCGGGATGAAAGACTGGATCTCGGAGTGCCAGCACCAGTTCCGCAACCACCGCTGGAACTGCAACACCACGGCGAGGGAACACAGCCTGCTCGGACGCCTGCTTCTCCGCAGTGAGTAGAAGGAGGACTCATTTGACTTTAGCATAGAAGAGGTCACATTTTGAAGTACTACTTAAAGTCATGAACAGGGTGGGAATCATTAAAGCTCGACAAATATCTGGATTTAAACTGGATTAGACTCGGTTGTCCTGTGGTGAAATGTTTCCTGATCATTTGAGGAGAACACGGCTGACATATTTGCGGCACACATATTCTATCAAACCACAGTTTACATGCTTTATGACACACAAATCCCCAGAAAATACACACCGAGTCATCCAAGCCTGAGACCTCTGACCATTTATCACTCAAGAGGACAGCGAAATGTATCCGCTTTCTAGGGGACCGTGAATATAGTCACATCATTCTGGGTTCAAAATGGAGGGCTTGCTTAATTTTGTCCTGATTAATTATGTCTGTAGATGAAGGTTAACTTTAATTAAAGCTAAAGAACTATCACTTATTGTCTCTTTGTAATCTTAAAACACTCCTGTTAGGATAAAGATCGGGCTACATTCCTTATCCGTGATCTGAATCAATGTTTGAAATCATATCAAGCAACACCTCAGTGTCAGTATTGAGATACTTCTGTGATAAATTTAGCTGCTCTATTCACCTGCAGTGAATGTTAGAAGATACAATAAAGCAGATTATACCTGATATAATGACTTGAGGGGCCGTCAGGTGCCTTCGACGCTGCATGACCGAGAATAGAAAGTAAGTGACTAGATGGCCTGCAGCAGTGTACTTTATACGCTGGCTTGTTTTTCCAGCTCATTGTGCGCTGGAACTGAATCCCTGCATGATCGTGTGCATTGCAGCACTTGGATCTGTTTGTCATGTTTCACCCTGTGTCTGAAAATTCTTAACAATTGGTGACTTTGCAAAGTGTCTTGAGGTCTAACTGCAGCGCCAAGCCCCCCTCGGAGAAACAGAGAGTTCCCTTGCAGATGGTTTTTTTTTTCACAGACATTGGATCACATTCCACACCTCGTCTCACTTTACAATCGTGCATTTGTCACGTCAGTGCAGCCGACTGGTTTCTCTGTTTTTGTGTTTGATCGGGGGCAACATGCTCCTCAGTGCTTTGTTAGAGTTATATTAACGCTCAGGGGGGAATGTGTTGCTGGACGGAAGAAAAGTTCATCAGCACTTTGGTTGATTTCATGTTATCCAACATTGATGCTGAATAAATATAATGATGACATTTGGTTCCAGCTTCTTGGATGACTTTTATTGAACACTGTTGATGTAAGAGGAATTAGTTGAGAATTCAAGCAACCTGCAGGCATGACCTTGAGCTTTAGCAAACCCAGGATGTTTTTTTCTTTCGCTTTTTTTTAATTTTTTTTATTGACACTGTCTGCCGATTTATTTTTATTTTATGAGATGGAAAAATATTGCAGACTGTGTAATAATCAAAATGATTACTTGTTGTTTTGTAAGTTTATTTTAGGGCTTTTTATGCCTTCAGTGTTTCCCCTAGGTTGGAGGTGTAGCAGGGGAGGTGAAGTGGAACAACGTTTTAGTTGCATTACATCTTTTTTTAATTATTTTCTTTAAAATAATTCAAAAAACAACAACAAAAACAACATTTCATAACAATGGTCACATTTGAGTCTGTACCGCAAATTAATATAATGTTAGTTTCTAAGGAGATAAGCTGGAGTGCAGCAGCAGAGGTCATATTTCAGCAGTGGTGCACCTCCGCTGCTACATGCATATAGGGGAAACACTGGCCTTTATTTGTACCTGATAAAAAGTTTACAATGTGTCCTTTTGATTGAGATTCTTCATGACGATGTTCATGTTTACGTTAGATCCACTTCAGCTACTGTCTCAGTTAGCTGATCACTCTCCTCTCAGCCCATTCCAAAGAGAGATGGTAGAAACGTCGTCTTTCTCCAAGTAAAAGTAATCCCACCACTTTGAAGATCCATACCCGGTCATTAGCACTGTTTATCTCTTCTGGTCATTTGCAGAAGAAAAGACTTGATGTATGGAGCTTTCGGCAGTCTGTTCCAGCGGGGGTTTAGTTCAAAATAAATGTTGTGAAGAGTGTGACAAATGACTCCTCTAAGACAGCAATTAGTCGGTGCGATTAGCAGTATTAGGGATTGAAATGATGAACTGATAATGAGCAGCAATAAGCAGCCTGCTGCTGCTGCCTCTGACAGATGTGAGCGCTGTACAGAAGCATCCTGTCAAATTAGACATGTCAGTGTGCGTCTGAGCAGCTGAACTCAGTCTGTGGTTTCTGCCAGGACGCGTTACAACAAGTCCTAATCTTTTTTTATTGCCACTGGAGGATCATCGGGAACCGACGGCCTGATGTTCCTCTCCCATGCCCCGAGATTTAACCTGTGAGGCGGATCCTTCGACTTAGTCTGTTTCATGTCGGGGGCCTCTAATCAGCCGTGTGGTATTCGGACCTCCCAGCCGGGCCCCCGCTGCGCCACACAGAATTATCACGGCACGTCGGAGAGAGCCTAGTCAGAAGCTCCTTATTGTCAATGTCAGCGGTCTAATTTCAAACAATTACACAGGAGTTCTACCTCTGTGGTGTCCCGTTTACTCAGTGTTCTCCTCATTAACCTCATAAAACACGCTCAACTTAGCTGCTGGACCTGGACCTACACACACACACACACACACACACACACACACACACACACACACACACACACACACACACACACACACACACACACACACACACACACACACACACACACACACACACACACACACACACAGATATACATTTGCACATGTGTGTTTCACTACCATGACTTTCACTATAACACCATAACTTTAATATGTTTTAAACCTTTTTTTAGGATCATCAGTTTCTACATCTCATTTTCCCCCCAAATTTTCAAAGTTTTTTGAAACAGGTTTTGAAACAGGTTTTTAATACTGTTTGCTTTTACTTGAATCGTATCACATTTTAAAAATCTGGTACCATGACAACCCTTGATCTGAGAATATGTGGAAAAAATAAAATACAAATCAGAGTTGACCCTCATCTTCACCTCTTGGTTCTTAGATTTTTGCCGCAGTTGACGATTTTGGTGGGGGCCTAAAAGTAGTGAGAGGTGACACCCGCTCTAGAGCTTCATTAACAGAGTAACTCAAATAATGAGCTCTGCTTTTAAGAAATGTATTGAATGAAAACAGAAAAACATTATGGACGTTGTTTGTTTTTCACAAGGTTGCAGGTTTGGTTTCAGATTTAGGGGGAGGGGCAACATGGAGTCATCTGGTTTTCTCATGAACTAAGAAGCAAAACTACAGGAGAGTATTTTTGTTTTTATTGCCTTTTATAACGTTGTTAAATGAATACATGATGCTTATTTTTCTATTTTGACTTTAAGTAAAAAAAAAAAAAAGAAATCTGAAATATTATGAGCATTTCTTTCAGCAAAAAAATAATGAAAACACAAACATATGAAACGTGCAAGATTCACTTGAGCTAGTTTGTAGCAGAGTTTTACACACACACACACACACACACACACACACACACACACACACACACACACACACACACACACACACACACACACACACACACACACACACACACACACACACACACACACTTTGATGTCTATCAGATCTTTCGTCAGCTTCATGCAGAGCTGATAAGGGCTCTGGGTCAGGGTGCTGCAGGTAAACGTTAGCTGTTTATCCATTCTGGAGGTAGATGAAGCGTTTTTCATTTCATGCCTCACATGAACTAAAAGTTTGTAGCAGATAACAACAAACAAGGATCATAGAGGTAGGAGCGGAGGCCAAACATTTGAAGAATCTCTCTGTTTGTCACGGCTTCATGTTGCCCTCCTTCAGGCTGTATTTGGGAACAAAGATCAACGAGAGATAAAGATTACCTTTGATTCTCATCTCACATCAGTGAAGGTTATGATGTAGAGAAGAATACAACCAACATGCTGATTTATTTTTTATAATTCTGTTTTTTCAGTATTTGGACAAAAGAGTATTTTATTATTCTGGGAATCTCAGGACATACAATGCCCACAATCATGATGATGTTACGATACAGTGATTTCACTTTATAGCTTATATATTACAAGACAAAAGTTTAATGATACAACACAATATAAGACTAATTAATTGCTCAGTGGTTGTGAGTGATGTGGTAAATTTGGGAACTCCTGGGGATCCTGTCAGGTTCACTGCAGACTTGAGTGTGACTGCTATGAGATTACATTTATTTGAAACTTGACCTCTTAACGTCTTGAATTGACCCAGAAAATGAAAGTAAGCCTTTCAAACCTTGCAGCTGAATAATCCTGTGCAATTACAAATACACCAAACAGTGTCAGGAAGAAGTTGCTTAGCTGCGTGTTGAATACGCATATTTAGGAATCTTTACTTCAGGACTTGTTTGAAGGTGTTAAAAAAAAAAAAAAAAAACCTACATTCAGAAAAACTGTTTTATATTGTTTTAAAACGTGTCAATTGTGCATAAAAATATTAAACAAAACAAAATAAATTTTGTAACAGACCTGTTCCTCTCAGTAACATCTTCTCTCTCTCTCTCTCCTTTAAGGTAGCCGCGAGGTGGCCTTCATGTACGCCATCTCCTCAGCCGGTGTGGTTTACACGTTGGCACGAGCGTGCAGCCAGGGCGATTTGGACTCCTGCTCCTGCGACCCCACAAAGAAGGGCTCATCCATGGACGCCAAGGGCTCCTTTGACTGGGGCGGCTGCAGCGATCACGTGGAGCACGCCATGCGCTTCAGTCAGGCGTTTGTGGACGCCAAGGAGAGGAAGGAGAAGGACGCCCGGGCGCTCATGAACTTGCACAACAACAGAGCCGGCCGAAAGGTGCGCCGATCATGTGAACACCTGCTGGAGTCATGAACAGGATTTTATTGTGTTTTTGGAGTTAGCAACACTGAATGATTTTAAAATGAAGCAATAAAATGTTGAAGGATTTTTTTTGTCAGGAGAAACACATGAACTATTTTATTTTTTTCCTACATGATTAATCAGGTTCATTCAACAGCATGCACGGCTCACTGACCTTGTGGCGTCCATACGATGCTCCAGACTCTCACCTCTCGTTCTCTCCCTGTGCCCTCTCCAGGCCGTGAAGCGCTTCATGACCCTGGAGTGTAAATGTCATGGTGTCAGCGGGTCCTGCAGCGTTCGGACCTGCTGGTTGGCAATGGCCGACTTCAGGCAAACCGGCGACCATCTTCGCAAGAGGTACAACGGCGCCGTGCAGGTGGCGGTTAACCAATACGGCACTGGATTTACTGCCGCGCACACACACTTCAAGCGACCCAGCAAGAACGACCTGGTGTACTTTGAGGACTCGCCAGACTACTGCATACGGGACAACGAGTCAGGTAAAACATCCTCCAGCCCTGCATCCTGTACAGGATCTGAAGACAGCTGTTGAAACTACATGTTCAATTATTTCTTATTATCATTTAGATTTTTTGAAACAAACATGCATGAAAACAGGGATGTGATTAGAAAGGGAGGAAAAGACATGCAGAAAGATTGAACCAGTTGTGCAACAGTGAATTTCCTTCTGCGTTCACACAAAGGCTCGACCAATCAGCTCTAACAGAAACGTTACAATGGGGGGCTGGCAGGAAACGATCCGGATTAAATCCTGTTGAATGCAACAGTTTGCGTTCACATAAAAATTAGGCCTGAATGTTTTTGGGACATTTTCTGGAGTTTCTTGCATGTGTGAAAAGGCTAACTGGGTCTCTGCAGGTGCTGAGACGACAGGGATATTTTACCTCCAGTATTTGGGCCCAGACAGATGCTGGTGTTGAGACAGATAAGCCGCTAAAGCAACAAGTATCTCAGTGTGAAATCTGTGTTTACATATGTGAAGCTCTGAACAGGACAGTGAGTGTGAGAAAGAAAATGTTTGTGTATGAAATCTGTGAGAGTGAAAGAGAAGAGCATCAGTGTGTGCGTGTGTGTGTGTGTGTGTGTGTGTGTGTGTGTGTGTGTGTGTTCCAGAGGAGCTGTATGCCTGTCAGGCAGCAGATGATCCGTGGCGATCGGGTGTCGGCCAGTTTAAGACCCATTACACACTTCTGTAGGCTGAAACCTTAGAACACCACAGATCACTATAAATCACCACTGCTGGAAACACACACACACACGCCTGAAGGCACGATCGGCACACACACACACACACACACACACACACACATCAGAAGAGTGTGTTTTCTGTTATTTCCTTCCTCCTCTATTTGAAACTTGACTTACATTTTTTAAACAACCCCCAGAAAAACATCTTCCCAAATCTGTTATTTTGATGCTTTTATTGTTTTTTTTTTTTGTCATTTTAAGGCTGCTTTTTTTTGTTGAGGTTATCTTGTGGCTTAAGGAGAGGGAAAATCAAAACCTGGGAATCATCTGTCACGGGACAGTGTCATGTATTCGCTGAGATTTACAGGTTATCAGGCACAGTCACGGTTCTTTAGAGTGTTTTATGTCCTTGAAGAAGCATGAAGAACTTTCAGAAGGCATGGTTTTCATTTAGGGGCCAAGAGGACGTTTTAGTGATTAAAGATGAAAGGTACAAGAGTGTATTCTAGTCCTGGAGCATCAAAGTTAAGTCGTGATACTTCCTGGAGATCATCTTAAACCAAGCGGCAACCGACGGTGTTGAAAAAAAGAAGCCAATGCAGAAGTGCAAAAAACCTGCAGTTCCTCGAGTGTCCACTTGAGGTTGGCTCCAAGAGACCACACCCCATTCATAAAAATGTACTTTTTTACAGCAGAAATCTAAATGTGTACAGCCTGGTACAAACAACAACTTTGGTGGGATTAGTTATTTTGAACAACAGAACATGCTGTGTTTTTGTTTTTCATCTGTTTTGAGGCGGCTGTGGCTCAGTTGGTCGTCTCTCAACCAGAAGGTTCAATCCCCAGCTCCTGCAGCCACATGTCCGACGTGTCATTGGGCAAGGCAATTAACCCTGAATTGCTCCCACTGCTTTTTCAGCGGCGTATGAATGTCAATAAATGGGATTAGTTACTTCTGATGGTCACTTTACATCGCTGCCTCTGCCATCGGTGTGTGAATGCGTATGTGTGACCTGCGGTTTAGAAGCGTTTTAAGTAGTCAAGTCCGGTCAAGTTAAGGTTTACGTTTTTATGAGAAGGATACACATTATGCATAGTTAGGCGCACAGCTGACTTGATTGACAGGTGGGTGTGATGTAACGGTTTGTCAAGAGACTTAAAACCCATCTCAGCCTCAGCTCCGGCTCTTAGCCTGTTGTTAGGTTGAGAGAACGTTTCCAGCATGGCGACCGCCACCGATGGGACTCCAAAGCCGTCTTCAGTAACAGATGGGGGAAGTCGCTCAGGCTTCGTGCGTTCATATTTACAGTCTTACTCTCAGTAAGTCCTCTGTAGCTGGCTCAGGTGTCATCGCCTCAGAGAAGTTCTTATTATTAATTTGTTTGTTTTGTGTTTAGATGCTGACAGTTCAGTTAAAGATATTAAGAGTTACAATAAGCTGTATCAGGCAGAGATCAAACTGGGGAGATATATTGAGTAACATTGTGTTGCATTTTTTCCTGTTTCCCTGTTTGCATCGTCACTGTCAACAATCTGCCTTTGTTAGTCCTGGGTGTAGAAACACAACAGACACCAAAAAACAGATGTTGACTCCACTATTACTTAAAACTGGGATTGGCAGCTTTAGGAAAACAGGCCGGAGTAAACAGATTATCTGTCAGTATCAATTTGAAAACCTCCCCTCTAAAGGGATAAACATGATCTGCCTGACTTTGGGAGAGAGAGCAATGGTTGACAAACACAGCACATCTTTGTCCTTCCTCCTTTCTTCACCACTAGTTCTTTGCCGTCTGCTTGGTGTGTCGGGGCCTTAACACAGTCACACTTCCTGTTTGTCGTTCTTGCGCCGTTACTTGCAAGCTTCATCCAACATGTTGATCGTTATTAAAGTGATACAAGTATTGGGTTTGGGCTTCTTTAAGGTGTGTGAAGGACATTTATCAAATGTGTCTCTCACATTTATTTTGTCAGAGCTTTGATTTATGGATTACTCTAAACGATGCATAACAAAAAATACATTTAAAAAATAAATTGTCTTACACTTAGAATAAAACCAGGACTAATTGGTGATTACATCTGAATTTGTTGATTTTTTTCGACACATTTTCTTGAGGTGAAGCCAAAGACTAAGTTGGCAGTAAATCAATCAGATGATTCATTACTTTTACTGTGATTATGTCTCGCTTTTTTGCTGTTACTTGTGTTTATATATTTAGATCAGACGAAACACGATGACATCATCTTTTGGGCCTCTTACAGTTTAATTGATTGATCATTTATTTAGCTGCATCAAGATGCTCCAAAGAGAGCTTCACTGGATTCCTTGATCCTGAACAGTCACTGTAATACAGTAGATTCCCCTGCCACCTCCTGATGGACCCCTGGAGGTCTGAGGTCTCAGGCCCCCCCCCAATGGAAATGTGTAGAGGCTTCACAGCAGACATGTAGACCTTATGTGCTGTGTACATGTAAGCAGGGTGAGGTAACACACACACACACACACACACACTCACACACAGTGTTCACCCCAGGCCCCTCATGAGAACTCACTCCTCTTGGACACACACAGAGAAAGGCATGAACGCTCGCTCTGACGACAACACACTCACACAAACATGAACACACAACCATGAAGCACAGTCGCTCCTGAAACACACACTTTGAGTCACACACACACACACACACACTGAAAAACCTCTCCAAGACATGCAAACTCACCCTCAATCATTCTGTAAAGTCTACTCTCACAGGCAGTTGGACACACACACATTTTACACACACACACACACACAGTCCATAGAGATAGTGAGACGGCCCCTCTGTGCCTCTTTAAAGTGTGAAATCAATTTCCCTCGGCCCCGGCGAGGCTCAGGTGCTAAACTCATCTCTCGGCGCCCCCTCATCTTAATTCAATAAGCAGACACAGGGAGAGCGAGGAAGACTCTGGCCGTGATGTCATCCCTAGCGGGGCAGCATACCGCAAATGACGAGCAGGCGCTCTGCCAGAGAGAGAGAGGGGCGGGGCTTCAGGTCAAGCCCAGACATATTACCTGGCGAGGGAACGATGAAGAGACGTCGCTCTCTCGGAGCGAAGCAGAATGTAAACACGAGCAAATTCCAGAACAATGTTTCGAGATTGTACATGAAGCCAAAGAATCAGTTTTTCCTCAACCTTTATTTACACAGGAGGAGAGAGCTCACAACCATGTTCCTCTTCAGAAACACAGGGGCGTCACAGGCAGACAGAAACAAAGTCAGTCACACCTGCACAGTTGCAGCCACCAGACTCTGCCCACTCGACCTCTGCAGCACAGCAGCTTCCGCGACAGGTTCATGTTTAAAAACGATTTCTGCAGTCTTTTTCACACGTGTACTCTTTAAAATGTGAAGTACCTCAGGACGCTGTGAAACTCTCCTGACCTGCCATGTTCCTCACAGCAGGCGACTCTCAGGCGATGATGCAAAAAAAAAGCGCCTTGGAAATGATGGACAAATCAGCAATGTCCAACACTATGATGACAGTTTGTACCTTTTAGATGAATGCCACGCGTGATTGGACGTATACATGGTAATAATGAACAAGTGGTTAAGATACTGACAAGCATGAAAAAGTACGGCGCAGTTTAATTTTGTTCACAATGATCTCTACGGTCACCAGTGGTTTAGTGTTGCCTAAAGAAGTGGGCTTTATTTTTAAGTGTCCCGTCCAGCAGAGTATGAACAGCCTCTGTTAGACAGTGACATGTAAGACTACACTTGCATAGTTAGTGTGTACTAGCCAATCAGAGACAGTATAGGGAGAGTCAGCTCTTCACCATCCTAGGAAAAAAACTGCAGCACACTCCTGACTACTGTCAATCAAGAAGTAGGTATACCCTATGGAGATAAACCCTGATACCCTGCACTACACCCCGACTGGGTGATGTAAACGTCATCGCAACTTCCCGATTGCTCGGAGTGATGATTTGCATTTTGACGATCAGAGAAGATTCCGGTGAGTTGTGGTGTTAGTGAGCGAGAGGTGTCGCTCGGCCCGGTCACAAGAGAAGGCGTCTCTGAAAGTTGCAGCAATGAAATGATTTACCCGTAATAGTGAGAACAGTCATTGATATGGGAGAAACTAGGGCGGGGGTGTTTTTGTTCAGGAGGGTTCTTTTGGTTATTAATGTTAGATTGTGTCTTATGTATTCAAATAAAAGACGTGTTGGCTTTTGTTACGATCAAAACAAAGCTTTTTGTTGAAATAATTCTGATGTAATCGTTCAACTTAACACAATAATGATCATCAAAGGCTTCCATAGTTTTTATCATAAGTGAAAGTTCTTTTGTCCCCGCTGTTCACACACCTGAAACACGTAGCTCAAGAACACAGACATGGACATGGAAAGTGTGTGTGGTCGGCTGAAGAAAAGTGAGTGTGCGCACTCAATCAGTGTGAGGAGATTGTGTGTGTGTGTGTGTGTGTGTGTGTGTGTGTGTGTGTGTGTGTGTGTGTGTGTGTGTGTGTGTGTGTGTGTGTGTGTGTGTGTGTGTGTGTGTGTGTGTGTGTGTGTGTGTGTGTGTGTGTGTGTGTGTGTGTGTGTGATGCGATGCAATGGATGTCTCCTGTAAAATGAACAGCTGATGAAGGGCGGGAGTGCCGGCTGACGGCTCCTATCATCAATCTCTCATCTCTCCTCCATCCAGTGTTCATCATCTTACTCACGCTCTAAACTCCTCCTCACCCCTACTGTCTCAAAGTTAATACTGCGCTCCCATTGGCTCTTGATGACCAATAAACTGTTTCTAATTGGTCACATTTGAGCTTATGTACCGCCTAATCACATCCTCATTCCTCGCTGGAGTAACAGTGTAAAAAGGGCGCTTCGGTCTGTGAAATGGTTCTTTTAGACATCTTAGTAACTTCCCATGATGCCGCTCACCTTAGACAGAAATGATTGGCAGTGAGGTGATGAATAAATGGGAACAGATCAGCAGTGAAAATGAACTAAGTTTAGTCCAACTGCTGCAGAAAAATGTCATATTACGCTCTGTTTGACACAAATAGCTTAAAAATGATCTAAAGAAGAAAAAAAAAGCTTTAAAGAAAACCTTCAGAATTGATTTGTTTTGTTTTAAGAGGATCATTGGTGTTTAGTCTCGGTGTCAGAAGGATTTCGCAGTTTGCAAGTAATTAAGTTTAATTGAAATTCTTAACATTAATGTTTTTTATTACTGTTAAGTATTGCAGACCAAATTGACCTCTGCACTCCGCAAACAGAGCAAGGCAAGATGTGAGGTTGTGGTAGGCTGCTATGCTCGTCAGTTAATTCTAACATCTCACTCAAATGGCTTTTCGATCAACATTGTAACACACAGAACGTGGAAGAAGAGGCTTGACATATTGCCTCAGTGCCACAAAAAGTTTGAATTCATCACAACATTTCCTCAGGTGATAAGTTTTGGATCTGAAATCATCTGCCATCTATTCGTTGGATGAGCAGATACTCATTATAGATTAAATTAATTAATCTCTCTAAACCCTCGCTCACCTCCTCTCTCTCTCCCTCTCTCTGTCCAGGGTCCATGGGGACGGCAGGGCGCGTCTGTAACCGGACGTCTCGCGGCGTGGACGGCTGTGAGGTCATGTGCTGCGGGCGAGGCTACGACACCTCGCGGGTCAGCCGGACCACCAAGTGCGAGTGCAAGTTCCACTGGTGCTGCGCCGTGCACTGCCGCGACTGCCACCAGCAGGTCGACGTGCACACCTGTAAGGGCCAGACGTGACACTAACTGACCAATCACATTTAACCACAAGTCACGTGGGATCAGCGTAGAAACTTCTGCAGTTTCGACTCGTTGCGTAGCTCTCAAAGATCCATGTGACTTTCAAACAGTAGGTAGGTCGTTTTAGCTTCTTCAGGTAGCGCTGTGCTCCTCCTTCAGACATGCTCTCTTTGCTGCTCGTGCTTTTCCTTCTCCTCTGTCTCCTCCTCCTCCTCCTCCTCCTTTCATTTTTCTTTCAAACTAATGAGATTAAACACATCATCCATCCCAAGATCTTCAGGATGACTAGACTAGAAAATGTTTCATCAACATGTTCAAAGTTCAACGACTAACAGAAGAGTTATACTTGTGTTTAAAACATGTCAAACAATATGAACTAGTGAATAGTGCGCCTTCCATCTTCAGCAAAAATCAGGTTTTCAAATGTTTACTTCATCTTCAAAGGCACACACTCTGGTTAGACCGCAGACTGTAAGGTAATTAGTGTGCTGTGGTTTTTACATCCTGGATGTCATCAGATGGTTAGATGTGCCGTCTGGGTTATTACAAGCATGTATCAACTGGGATCATAATTGGGTGCAAACACAACAACAGTTATAAAGATGTTCCAGTTGCAGCAGTTATTACTTTACATTCCTGTAGGTGGCAACATCCACTGAAAGAAATCTGCAGCTGTAAAACAGTTGGTACCTGGAGGACCAGAATTAGAACTGGACCAGATCCACAGCTCTGAAGACAGCTGTGTGTTAATTCAGGGGCAGCGTCCTCAGAAGGGTGTAGAACGCTCTGCCCCGACTGAAATGACAGAAGATTCCCCGTTAGCATCGCTAGCTGTCCCCAGCTCGGAAGAATTAGCGCACATTGAGTCCCGGGATTCATTGAGCCACGAAGGCTGAAACATATGGATCCTTTTGTTGGAGGGCACATTTGTTGGCATTATTTGAAGGAGCCTCCAAACTCCATCTTCAAATGTCTTTAAATGTGCCCTCTGAAGGACGCAGCCCCCTAAAATGGGTCATAGCCATCGTGTACTGCAGATGGATCAGATTGGCTTTCACTGACTGTAATCAACTGGACTTCTAAATTGACATCTTGAAAAGTTACAGCTCGAAATAAATCCACACAGTAAAGGAAACATTTCAAGTATTTTCAAGATGAGCTTGTGCTATAACTTAAGTCTCCTTAGAGTCTACTTATAGTGTAAACAAAACAACTGATTCAAGCAGAAACGCATGGAGAACTACATCGAGTCACTTTGAAAACACATCTTCAACACAGAGGAACAAAGTGAAATAAACAAACAGCGTCTTGCTGCTCAGCTCTCCCTCCAAGATGTCAATCGTCTTGTCCTCTTATTTTCTTTGTATTTATTTACTCTTCAGTGTGTTCAATAGTCTTACCTGTGTTGAGAAGATGAATGATGTTACCTGAGATTTTAAAAAAGAACAACCTGTATGACTGCACTATCCAGAATCAAAGACTCTCCATCACTCACAGCAGCAGCCATGTTTAGACACCACTAGTTTAGATTATTTTTCTCCTGTAAATATGTCGTCCTGTAAGTTAAAATCAGATGTCTATTATCTATACGCAGACAGCAACTTCTAACTAATCACACAGCTCACTTCTTTACATATGTGTTGTAAAGGGCTTAAAAATCTTAAAGCACTGGCTGTTAAAAACACGTTTCATACAAGTGACATGAACACAGAACACATGTTTGTTTTTCACTGCAGTAAAGATCTGAGCTTTCCTCTGAATCATGTGAACACCTGGTCCATGGCTCAAACTGCGTCTCCCTGTAAACGGAGATGTTACCTCGTCAGCAGATAAAAGAACGATGCAGATCCAGAGAGAAACAATGAAGACCTACCAGGTAGTGTTCACCTGAGCAGCAGCTCCACAGGAAGCTGCGTTCAAGACTTGATGGTTGAAGTGGTTAAACTGCAGTGAATCAAACTGGCGAGAAGACGTTGTTTTGCAGCAATACACAAAAAGTCCTTTTATTGTATTTTTTTGTCTTCTCACTTTTTTTAATGATGGCAATTGATCACCTCTTTTTGTACAACAAAAGAACAGCTTTAAATGATCGAAAACCCAAAAAAATGCAAACATATCAAATAAAGTCAAAACCAGTTGTGGATTCCATCATATTTGCCTTTTTTTTTTTGTCCCTTGCCTCTTGCCGTCGTCCTCGTCTGTTCTCAGTTTGGTTTGAACTCTTGGCACAAAGGTGTGTCAGTCCAGTCCAACAAAGCGTTCTGGGTTTCAGTTCGGCTGGTTCTGTCTGAATGGAGGTCGTGGGCTCCTGGTTCAGTTCCTGGTTCTGGATCCGGTCTGGTGGCTCGGGTCAGATGCGGGTGAGTTGGTGCCAGAGGCTGGACGGCAGGATGCTCTCCACCTTCTCCATGATGAAGTTCAGAGGAGCGAACAGCGTGCTGAGGAACTGCAGAGAGAGAAAACAACAACAGTCACACGAACGTTCATGAGGTTTTTGTTTTTAGAAGAATTCAAACATCTCAGTTTCCATTAACTCTCGTATCACACTCACTGACCTTTAATCAGGTTCATTAATGCTTTGGGCTTTTCACACTAATTACAAAACAATCCACGATTCTTCTGCAGTGTTCAGAAATAATGAAACTAAATGATGTGTATTACATTGTTTTAAAACAGAGAAAATGGCCTTAGTGTTTGAGGAATATCAAAGTATTGAATCAGAATGTAAGAAAGTCCTCCGCCTGTCGAGACCGTTAAAGACCTTTAAACAACCTGTGCAGCTATTGCAGCAAAATGTTGACAACAATAAGACATTACCTGGAGTTTACGGAGGCTAATTCTGTCTGAAATAAAAATCTAACCTGATGATGTTTGATTTACAAAGATTCAAAAGAGAAAAAAACTGGATCAACACATTTGAGGAAATGGAACAAGTGAATTCTCCATCAGACATCGCTTCATCTATTTTAGTATCTGAGCTTGTTTTTGACTTGTATTTTATTGAGCTGTAATGATTTAAATTAAAATCACATGAATAGCATGGTTACAAGGATGAACAGATGGAAAATAGTCTAAATCTTTAAAGTAAAGATAAAATATAAAACATTGGCAGGTTCCTGCTTCTTGAATTTGAGAATCTGCTGATTTTTTTTGTCATTTTGGATTTGAAGTGAAGAATCTTTGGATTTAGTCTGTTATAAAAAGCTGACTTTTAAATGTATTTGTTTGTTGTCTTTATACGCCTTTATTTTAGAGATAGGACAGGTGATAGAGTCAGAAACTTGAGAGAAAGTGAGTGGAGAATGACATACTGTTAAGGAGACACAGTTAAAATAATAATCCCAACAATTCTTAGTGAAAATGAAAGGTGAATGTGATAAAGACCATTAGACAGTAGCACAAAATGAAAAATAAAAAAACCCTAAATAGACTGTATGTTGGGATTGTTGAACATTTTTATTTATTTTTGGGATGTTTTGATCATCTTACCGCCTAACCTGCATCTGGAAGTCAACAGAACAACGTATTGTTAAAAAGCTCATTCTGAAAGTAGATTGAGGTGCAAAGCAAACGCCATTGTTCCCGATCCCCTTCATCATATCTACTTTTGTACTTCAAGTCCGAGTACAGAAGAGCTCACTGTCAGGCTCGTCCTCTGTTTTTGTTTTGGCAACAAGCAGTGAAGAAGAGCAGAAGGTGACGGGAGGGGGGAGGAGGGGGGGCTGGGGGTGATAGGGGCTCCACTAGAGCAGCAGCAGGTCATAAAGGTTCCCACTTTGTCAGACGGCAGATAAAAGTCAGGAGAGGGACGGCCTCTCTGTGCCACCCTCCTCCTCCTCACCTACATGAGTCTCCCTCACACATCACACCGCACATCTCTGCTCCAGCTTCAAAGGACACTTCAAAGTAAAGGTGTGTGTGTGTTCCCTGTGTTTGAACTGTGTGTGCGGCACAAAGAGACGGGCCTGTAATCCAAAAAGGTAGAAACGCACGCCACGGATGAAGCAGGTCTGGGTCAGGGTACGTTGAGCCAGGACGTGATCATCCATGATGCATGTTTCCTGTTCAAGCCAGAATGTCTTTTTAGTGACTCGTTGACTGGGGGGGGGTAACACACAACATTTTCACCAGCACACGAGGAGTGTGCATGCTGAAGGGACATTATTAGTAAAGTGTGTTCACTCAGTCACACACGTTAGCCCAATCGTTTTTGAATTCAGCAGCAAACATCCTGAATTCCTGAGTACAGGAATTCACACGACTCAGACAGACAGACACACACACACACACACACACACACACACACACACACACACACACACACACACACACACACACACACACACACACACACACACACACACACACACACACACACACACACACACACACACACACACACACACACACACACACACACACACACACACACACACACACACACAGACGGAGGTGGATTTACAAAGTCGGTCTGGTCCAAGTTCGGCGTTGCTTTGATGAGAAGTCCCCTTCCCTTTAGCTACTGTTACTCGTTTAGATGAGTTTAAATGGCAACAGGTTCTGTAGAGTCTGGTGCTGCTGTGTGTATCTGATGAAGCTGAGAGCATGTAAAGACATCGTGATGATGCATCCTTATGACGGACAAATGAATGCAAATTGAAGATAAATCCTCCAGGTCTCAACTCAAATGGAAGGAGATACTCCTGTACATACAATAATTTAAGACTATAACACAGCGTCGATCCTGTACTGCTGTTTCTTTTGTTTTGTTTTGGGTTCAGCACATTATCTGCACATCGAGTGTTCTCTTCTAATACCTTTCTAAGCATCGTCTTTCAAAACATCATCAGTTTTAAATTTGGTGCCTTATATCATCCGAGGATTTAGACAGACCAGCCAAGTGGATCGAGAGAAGAGTATAATAATGATATGATGATGATTATGTGACCTTTCTTCTACCAGAGAGCACCACCAGGTAAGAGCTGCATGTTGTCATTACA